ACACGCATCTCGTCAAAGAATCCCTCCTTGCCGTCGCCAGCCACACAAAAGGTCGAGAGCCTGCCCCCAATTACCAGAAGATTGCCCGCAAGAGATTGCTTCATTGAGCAGAACCTCATCGGGCGGCACGAGGCAACCCTGACTTTCACGCATGGTCTGGTGTGGCCTGGCCCCATGATCTCTCTGACGAGCAGCCACGTTGGCAACCTTGACCTCGCAACAGACGGTTGAAGGCGCGCAAGGTCCCCGCTGCAAATGCTGTTGGAAAAGCGGCTTTCATGCACATCCAAGGGGCACGAAAGATCTGCAAAGCAGCCTGCCATTGTTGACCCTCATCACAGGCGCGGATAGCCGACGCACGAGTCACCTCAAGGGGTAGGCAAACACATCCGTACCTTGCTGGGGTTGTGTTGGGTCCTTGCTGTGAGCTGATGCACGCAGACGGAGAGCGTCTTGTACATGCGCAAGAACCGGTTTATGAACAGGCCTCGTTGGCCGTCAGGCTTCGCTGAGGCAACCCCGCGTAGCTGCTCAACGCCTGGGTCGGATGCGAAACGAGTCGAAATCGGGTGAACCGAAGGGGCTGATCAGGTAGCCTTCTGCCACTGCGAGCGGGCGCAGGCTGCGATAACCGCGGTGGCCGTGACGAGTGTGGCCTTCGGAGCCACATGTTGCAACCACGTGCTTCCTTCAGAGTCGCCTCTTGCAAACCCACACGAACTCATCTCAGGCACGCGGATACTCAAGTCCATCATCGTCTGGAAGAGTGCCAACGCCTGCCCACTGGAGTGTGCACTTCTTTAAACTGCCCCGTGCCCACACAGGGCCTTCTGCCACTCACCACAAGCGCTGATCGCTGCAGTGAGAGTCATCAACTCCAGAGGTGTGTAAAGCTGCCTCAGGTGCCAACGTCTAAACATTGTTCAACTGCTACGAGTACGTCTGGCGTTTCACAAGAACCCGAAATGGAAAGCCGATTTGATTAGAAAAAATGCTCTTGCTGTCCATCCAATCTTGTAGTCCTGTACTGCCGCCGAGAGATGCATTACTTCCAAATGCCTCAGCACCACCGGCCAGGACCCACTGCCAGCAGGCACGGTGCCCAGAACGGCCACATAGCTCCTGTTCTTCTCTCAGCCACTCAGAGTGCACATCACTGGAGCCCATGCTCTGTGTCTGTGCTCCAGCTGTCTGGCCGCAGCCCTGCAGTTTGCAAGTCTTTCAAGGACGTCAATGTCTCCCGCCACCTGTGAACGCGAAACAGATTGCAAACTGCGAGGCTGATTTGGAGAGTGTGGGATCCGGCGGGGTACTGAGCCGGCCTGGCCGCACGGGTGCATGCAGACATGGCGGAATTCCGAGCAATTCGAAGGTTTCGGCACCCAAATATCTGCATGTGCTGACCTTGTCTGCAAGCAAGACTAAGAGGCAGACAGGAGCATGTTCAGACCGCGTTTCAGATTCGCGGCCTGTTTGCAGGATGTCCACAGCCAAGTGCCACCTCTGGGCGCCGCAGGCTGTTATGGCCGAGTTGTACCTCAAATCCACGAAAGCTCCCGCTGAATAAGCAGGACCCTGGAATTTCTGCAGCCCGGTTTCACAACATCGTTTGGACACAAGCGCTGCGGCTGCATGCCTGCAAGCCGAAGAGCGAGGCACAGCTCACATGATCAAGGCCGCGTAGGACACGCCGTCCCGCATGTGGCCTTGCAGGATGGCCAAGGAGCTCACCCATTGCGAGGTCTTGCCGAGCTGGCGGATGGCCGCGCTACCTGAGTCAGAGGCAACCACGGCCATGGCCGCTTGTTGGCTTATGTTGGCTTGTTGGCTTGTGCTGGCCAAGTCCAAGGGGCAATCGTAGGCATCCTCCAACTCTTCCGCCGGCGAGAGAACCCTCATTGCTCCGCTGACCCATTGCCACGGGGAGCATGGGCACGTCGCTGGTTGGCTGTGTATCGAAAAGGCTTTACAGGGACCAAAGCGGATCCTACACCTGTCCTTGTTTCATGGCACCTCGTGGACCACGAGCTGTTGATAGAGGGTCCGGACCAACGAGCCCAAGTACTGGCAGATCTTTGTGGAAATCGTGCCCTAATGTGGTATTTCATGCTCGTGTTTATGACAAGCATGGTGGAGTTGAGCAGCTTCTGTGTGCCCATTCCGGCATTTGATCCGGCTGGTGCCTTTGGAGCCACGCGTGGGCCCACGACACCAAAAGCCCCTCTGATAACGGTCTTGCCCGCTGCGCTTTTCACCTGCAGCCACGGGCTGACTGTAAATTCCACCTCAAGGGCTGGAGATCTCATCGAGCATGACATGAAACGCCAAATCTGTCGATTTCAGCGCATGGGTCTCGCTTCAACCTGTCCGCTGAACTCGTCCAGCGAGGCCTCGAGGTCTAGAGTCTGTCGAAAGCCGCTGGCAAGTCGAAGTCTGACCTGCGGCTCTGGTCCGCGAAATGCAGCCAGAAAGAACACAGACCAACCCAATCTCAACATCGTCGGACCAAGCAGAAAACACATATGTGTTCGAGCCCTGGGTGCCATATGGGCAAACGAACTACAAGAGGCCTTCTGGGCATTCCCTCTCGGGATGAGGCCACTGATTCCGCTAGATTCAGCAGATTCGGTTGTCCTCCTATACTGGTGTGCGATTTGGGATACCTTCATGGCCAAGCTGAGAGCACATGATGGAGACCGCCCGGAGTATGTGAACATATGTAACATAAGGGATAACAACCGATAACAATCGCATAGAACACTGCAAGAAGGGTGGGGCGTTATACGAGTTGGGGGATGCCTCGGGATTGGCCTTCAGGACATTTCAGAGGGATCACTGCATGTGTTGCATTTTTTGCCCCCGAGCCATCCGTCCTCCACCGCAGGAAATACATCTTGCTCAGATGTATAGCAGCGCTGCACCATGTATGCCTATTGGCCATCCACAGCTATCCCAGAAACCCGGCTCGCATGAGCCTGAGTTCACGCATGATTCGCTCCCTAAGCTGGATGGGAGTGAGTGGCACCGTTTCCCACTTCAGGGAAGGCATGGCTTGGCTTTCCCTAGGAGGGTTTGGCCCATGGTAGCCCCCCTCCCCTCCTGTGGTTCCCTGTGGTGTGGGTTCCCCCCTGCCCCTCCCCACTATGATTGCGATCGGCTGCGCACCCCTTCTGTGGCTATTGCTATTTGGGCGTCCGGTTGCTGATGGTTTGGACCTTCGGATGTGATACAGTTCCACTGAACTCCGACCTGCAGCTCCAAAGCCAACGATAGTGGTGAATATTATGGTGATGATGACGAAGAAGGTGATCATGATCCCCATCCGCACTCGCCTACGGTCCCTTGCTCAAGAGTACCGAATGAAAATCATTCAAACACGTGTTCAAGCCTACTTAAACGAACCACAAACACGTGTTCAAGCCTACTTAAACGAACCCAACCGAAAGTTGGCTTGGAATGACAATGGTCGATGCCGTTTTCGCAAAAACATCACAAGCAAAGCACGATTTTCAACTAAGCCAAGCAGTGAACATGCGGTGCCGAAGCCCAAAGCGCAGATACCACCAACAGCCACACGGGGAATAGCACAACATCATCGCGGGGAGGGGAAGGCCCACCCCGCCCCTGTCGTTCCCTGTCTTGTGGTTCCATGTGTTGTGGGTTATCCCTCCCGCCCCCCCGTTTGCTAAGGCGACTGTTTGCTGGCCTCGGGGGGGAGGGGGGGGGGGGAGGCATACAATGGGGCCATACATACCCAGCTGACGGCTCCTGTCATCTACGATGTAATCATGTCTTGGCCACCATATTGGCTATAGATGTCCGTTTCAGAGAGCCTGCGCCTCAACACACTACATGAAGCACGTGACTGGGTTTATTGGGTTGAGGGCCAAGTCTTTGAAACAGCAACAGTACAGGCTAGACAAGCCATCCCACCCCAGAGCAATGCAAGTGTGATCAAGAAGCGAGGGACAAGATACGGTAGCCGCTGATGAACACCACTGTAGCACGTATACTAGTTCACAAACACATGCCAGCACAGAGACCGATTGGAGCATCCCAACGTAGGTGAACCATGGTGAACCCACAGCTGTTATGTCAGACCCCTCCCAACTTGACAACCTCAAAGCCCAAATCCTTGAAAGCTTTGAGGCTGCACCGTCAAAATTCAAACAAACAGAGGGATCCGGACAAGTTCTCCTTTCTGGGCCTCAACCCAGGAGACCCCAACAAACTTAGTGTTGCTATAGCCCCACTGCAGCATCTCTGCACCCAAATCACATACTCGCTTCAATGCGTTGCACCATCTGATGAATACAGCAGTATTATCATCCGGGACGGTGCAGGAAAGGACCTCCACCAGACCTTAGAAACTCCAATTATCTACAAGCTGTCCTCAGTCTTGCGTCTTACCGAGTATGAGGGTGGTGAGCTTTGGACAGAATCGCCAGTAGGGGATGCTGTTAAACAATACGTGGACCGCCCGGTGTACGGTTCGCTGTGTCCTATCCCATCAAGCACCCCTCGTATTTTCAGTGGTAAGCGTTTGCTGCATTCGACGGAGCCTTGGAAAGGATGCAGGGTCATCATCGTTGCTTTTGTGATCACGGGCGCTTGTTGTGGTTCCGGACAGTTTGGATGTCAAGTGCTGTTTTCAACAGGTAGTACGCCCAGGCCGACCCACTCAAACTAAATTGACATTCAAGTCGTCGTCATGCCGTTATCTAGCTAGACTCGACGTCGACCACGGCAAAGCTGGGAGACAAGCCTCTGGAAAAGCAAGAGTCAGAGGTTGCTGAAGTTCCAGGGCCGGCAGCTGTGCGTGAGGATCAGGGTCCGGGTAGTGCATCATTGAGGAGCCCATAGGAGCCCGACCCTTCGGGATTCTCCTCGACGTGGTCCGTTCGAGGAACGCATACCCACAGGGAACTGACTTTCCAACCGCATCGATCTGCATCGCAGCTCTGCCAGAAGCCATGCTCGAGCTTCTCTTCAGAAGCGTCTCACAGTCTCACTCTCTTGTTTAGGTCAGCGCTGTCACAAAGGGACGGCAGACGTTGGCCTTTGATCTTCCCAGTAGCAAAGGCAACTCTGCGTCTCCACAAACCCACAAGCAGAAGATGTCTCGTTGGCTCCGCGTATCGGCGTGAAGCTTCACCTAGCTTTAGGGACCGCAAAAGGTCCGTCAATGCCGTCTCTGTGTACACGAACTCCATGCCTCTAGTGCGTCATGCAGCTGAAGATACTTTCGTTCTGTCATAAATCACAAGGAAAACTAAAGACAGCAGCGCCACATCATCCTAGTTGCTTGAGCAGAAGAGAGACTCGTAGAGGTCCCGCGGAAGATTCGAAATTGGAATCGCCTTGAATGCCAGAGCTTCCCAGTGCCGATAACACTCGAAACGATCACCACCTGGGCTGGTGACGAAGAAGGCTTCGGCCTTAACTCGGCATGCGAATCTTGCGCTGTGCGCTGAGTGCACACAGTCAAGGCATAAAAACCCTTATAAAAACTTTGAAAGCTTCTGATCAGCACCGGCGAGCAAGCTCCGTGAAATAGTCCGAGAGGTTCATGGACGGTCCGGAAGGGAACCAGGCAGGTCGGTGCACTCTCCCTCGCCGAGCCAGGTGGCTGATGTGCACTCCGATGCGCTTGACGGTTCCCTCGTGAATGGCCAACTCCTTGCCGAGTTTCGTCAAAAGTCCAGGGGCGTCGTTGTTGAAGCCCATGGGCAAGGCCTCGTAGTCGGGATGCGACAGCTCAGGGTTCTGCATGAAGATGTGCAACACCAAAGGACACGCCAGGATCTCCAGGAGCACTGATGTCAGCTGGAATTCGCCATGTCTCTGCAAGTGTGCTCGGCGGTGCCTGCCCACAACGAGCACGACCGCGGACTGAAGCTCTGGCATGAAATCCCTGAACGCTTGCAGGGAATCCGTGTCCACGCTCACAACACTCCCTTCTGGCAGGAGCACAGGGAACTCCATGTCCCGAATGTTCTGCAAGCGAGTCGCAACTACAATCTTCCGCAAGGGACAGTTGTGGAAGTCGTATTTTCCAAAGATGTGCGTCGCAAGGATTAGTGGCAAGCAGGGTGAGATGAACGAAGTCGCAAACTCCATGTCTCGATATCCTCTCCTCTCCGAAGCTCCAAACCGCTCGATCTCCTCTCCGAATGATGGAAGAGCAGCGATCTGCGACAGGGCGGCGTAACGCAAATGGCTGGCAGATGTCTGTGGCACCTGGCGCAAAGCCACGATGTCTGCAAAATGGCAGTACACGGCGTAACCTCTTGAGGCCAGCTCTGCTACGGTCCAGCGGGTCACCACATCAGGCAATCGCTGGCCTAAATGTTCAAACATGAGCGAAAGTGGCCTGAAGGCCCGCATCTGAAAGAAACCGGGGAGCAGCTGGGTGTCGAAGCCCTCCAAGTCGGAAACGAAGAGGTCTACCTCCCAGGGCTGAAGCGCAGCCTCCTGCAAGATGCGGTCAGCCGTCAAGCAGCGAACAGCGATCTCTTCCAAGTAGGATTCCACCAGCTCAGGCTTGGAAAGTAGGTCTTCCTCAGATGCGAACTGCAAGATCAGAGAGATGACATGGCCCTTGGACAGGGAGCTGATCCTTCCGATCATGCTCTTGGGGATGCTGTACTTGGGGAAATCCTCATACAGGCGCTCCGACACTGCATAGAAGCGCTTCTCAGGTGTCTCTTCGAAGCAGAGCGCTGCTTCCAGGAAGCGGACGCTGCCTTGGCCAAGCCATTCCACGACCCTGCTGCGCAGTTTCTGCATGATCCACGGCTGTGGCTCAACGAAAACAAGGTGAAGTGAATCATGCGTGAACCTCCTCAGGTCATAATACCAGTCCAGTTCTTCGTCTTTCAAGTCGTTTGTGCCGATGTGAAGCACGGTGAGTGGCCGCAGCAGCTGCCGAGAGTAGCGGACCAGCATATCAAAGTGCTCTAGATCATCAGCCTTACTCATCTTTGTGCGTGGCCTTAAAGAGCGGCAGGTCTCATTCTGAATCCTGAACGTGCACCTGGAGAAGGGCTGACACAGGCGGGACTCCTCGGAGAGGCCCTGCAGGCAGGGAAGCACAGCCAAAAGCCGCAAGCCGAACAGGTCGAGGCCAGCCGACATGACCATTCGAGAGGATGGGGGGAGCATGGCAGGCAGTTGCCTGCCCGCTCCTGCTGTCTACCGCCTAGGATACATCACTAAGACAACACCTACTTTGCCTATAGACAAACATGGGCGCTCTTGCTCCCCCTCCAAGCCTTCTCCCTCAAACATGCAAACAAACTTGTCAAATTGTAGCCTGACCACTACCACTACCACAACAACTACTACTTACTGCTAATACCACTACCACTACCACTACCACTACGACTACGACTTCTTCTTCTTCTACTACTACTACTACTACGACTAGTACTACTACTACGACTACTACGACGACGACTACTACTGCTACTGCTACTCCTACTCCTCCTACTACTACTAGCCACCCCCACCCCCTATCAATTACACTTGTTCCATCCGGGCTGGGCAGCGGTAGCTGCTGGGCGCCTTAACTGCGACAGTTGCAGAAGATGCACGGGCTCAAGCTCCCTATCTGCGACAGCTGCAGAAGTTGCAGAGGCTCAGTTTCCTTAACCGTCTCAGCCGGTGAAGTTGCAAGGGCTCAGGCCCCAAAACTGCGACAGCAGCCGGAGTTGCAAGCTCGACGCGGAAGAATCTGCTAATCCGCAGGTGGTCGGATAGTACGAAAACGCTGTAAATACCGTTCAAAACCCAGGTGCTGCCAAGAAGGGTTTACATTTCTAAAGCCTGAAGCGCAACATCTTCTAAACATCCAAAACAAAGATGCCAGCTGAACGTGGGAGGGGCTCGCCAACACCCCTACCACCCGAACTCGGCGTAGGAGGGTCTGATTTTGAAGTGGTGTGTGTTGTGTGTGCGCGCTTGAGTGTGGAAATATTGTTCAGGGTGTCCGCAAAACAGTGTCGTGATCATCCCCGAAGAAGCTTTCCCCCATCCAATTTCGAGTTTTTTGCAAACAGTTCGAAACAACAAGTTTAATACGCATAGTCGAGAAGTAGGGGCTCAGAATATGCAACAAAGTCCGACATCACGAAAGTACTGTAAACACCGAGTAAAACGGCTCTTGTGGTGATGCTGTTGGGTGTGTTCACGTAACACTGTCGTCATCGTCCCCCCCCCCCACCCCCCCACCCCCGCCCAGAAGCAAGCCCAAAATCAAGAGCCCGAGTTTGCAAACTCGACAAGTCGATTTTGAAGCCTCTTACGATGATCGCACATGAGGAAAGTGCCGTAAATACCGAGCAAAATGGATGTTGTCTTAACATGGTCAAGAGCAAGTGTAGTTGGTAGGGGGTGGGGGTGCCTACTACTACTACTACTACTACTACTACTACTGCTACCTCACTACTACTACTACTACTACTACTACTACTACTACTACTACTACTACTACTACTACTACTACTACTACTACTGCTACCTCACTACTACTACTACTACTACTACTACTACTACTACTACTACTACTACTACTACGGCAAGTACGGCTACCTGGCAAGTACGGCTATCAACTACAATCCCCAAGACTACGCTGCTGACAGAGTGCATGTCAAGTTAGTGAGTAGTCAGAATGGGCAAGACTCAAGGCCACAAATCGTTTGCCTTTAAGTCGCCAGCAGTTATAGCCCCATCTAGTCAGTGGTGCTACGAAGTGAGGAAGCGGGGCCAGGTCAACAGAGAATCCACAGAAGTCTCAGCCTGCTCTGGACTGGCGGACTTTTGTTGCACGTTCAGGCTCAACCTGCTCCTGCCCACCTTGAATTGCAAGCCTCGGTACTAGGAAGTAGGCCATGAAGTACATGCATTGGGGTTGGCTTCTGCGCCCTGCTTTGCAGGTCTGGCAGGAGGGGCCCGCAAGAACTCGACGACGGCCTATTGAGATGTCCAACCGCGTGAAGCAAAAATTGGAGCTGTCCGTTGCACTTGCAGGCTGTGATCTCTTAGCCGGACATGAAAGGAGACAGTGCCGCGACTGTCTTCTCTGGATGCGGTGTAGTCACGCAAATACCATGCACGAAGCCTAGTCTTTTGCCAAACGTGCTTCAAGCAGAACTGCTTTGCAGTGAAGCACCTGATTCATCGAAAACGAAGTCAGCAAAAAATTCTGATAACATTAAAACAGCGACGGAAGTATCGGACATGAGCCAAACCAAGACTGAGAATGCAAAGCTGCTAGGAAGCGCGAGTAAACTGAGTAAACTTCCATTTAGGCCATTTCGGCTCGGGCCACGACCCGAAGCTTTGCACTATCGCGCCGAAGACTCCCGGCGCTAGCCCAGATTCCCGAATTACTTTAAGGTGACACTTTCTTGTATCTCCAGCTCGCCTGACAGCCTTCTCACACCTTTGGCAATGTGTTCCGAAAGCCGGGTGCCAACGGCCACACTTTCCGATGCCTTCTCGACCACCTGGTCACTGAAAAGGCACGTATATAAGGAGACCTCCCGAGGTTCGATGATGCCCACAAGCTACTCTAAAGCCAAGTCACCTGCCACACTCGAGCATGACCGTCCTGCAGAGCCTTGGCTTTTGGATGGCAGGAGATGCTTCGTAGTGTTGGCCTAGGGCCTACGTGCCGCGCCTCCCCCTCGTTTGTTGAGCACGCACCAACAAAGTTGCTGTCAACAAGTATTACATGCAACACGGACTGACCACCACATGTCCAGGCTGGCGCCGAGTATGCCTAGGATGCATGTCTCCCGATGAATACTCGGCGTGCAGCAGACATCTGTGACCTCAGCGCCGCAAAGTCCCCATGCGAAAGCGAGCTCTACTGACAAGTAGCCACGCTACTGCAAGTTCTCAGCATGCTTTCGAGAACATGCTCTGGCTCTGTCAGGAAGCCAAGCCGCATCAAGGCAACTTGCTTCTTGTGCAAATTCTCGAGGGCCATCTGTGTGATCACTATGTCCTTCGTCTCCCGTTGTGAAGCTCATGGATGACATGTAAAACAACCTGTGCGTTGGGCATCATCGCAATACCTGCAAAGGAATCCAAGTGACAACTTTGTTCAGATCGCCTCGCAGTCTCATCAGGCCGGACCTCACAGCAGTCTGCCGGCCACGTTCCGGTCGAAGCCACCACTGAGTCACTACTGTGGACTCTTGCATTCTGACTGGTGAAAGCAAGCATGTATATGTATATATAGATATATACATATGCACACAAAGATGTTACACACATGCATATACACATATGTGCATGGGGTATCCCCTCTCTAGCATTCTGCTTTCACATCGTTTCTTGCGAGTAAAGTTCGCTCCCGAAGGCGATCCCGGAAGCACGGCTAGTGAGCCGGAGTTGGGGCCGGATGTCCACCGGCACCGATCGAGGAGTTACTGAAGAAGGCAGGTGCACGAGCCACATTGTAGTAGAGCTACCGGGTAAGAAGTTTCGTCTACACAAGGGGGCCCAGGCCGGTTGTTGGATGGGCCGGCGCCGGATATTCAAGAACTCGCAGGAGTTTTCGGCGAGACCGGAGAGGTGATGTTGCTATCTCTCTCTCTCTCTCTTTCTCTCTCGTTCTCTCTCGCTCTTAAGGTTCGGGCAAAAGCCAGCACATATTGCTTTCAGGTGTGGTTATTCGTGTAAGATAACTCAGGGATCGCGGACGTTTGGCGTCCAGCAATGATGTAGGAGTACCAGTGCTTGTGCGAGATTCGAGACATGATGCCGTAAACTCCAACAGCACCATGTCCTCGTCGCCATGCCAAACCCATAATCCCCAACTTCGAAGCAGACGATGCCTTTGTGATTGATTCTGGTTCTGGCTCCGGGGGCAAAAAGCCAGTACTCTACCGTACCATCTTGTTTTCAGGGGGTTTGTTCGTATAAGCAAAAGGTTTATGGTGAATCCTGGGGAGTAGTAATTATGAGCATTTCAGAAATAATTAATGGCGAAATCTAGTGTTCAGGTGTTGTCCTTTCTCCCAAACCATGTGGTAACACTATGCGGTGTTGCCTTAAGCGTACTAACAACTAATTGCTGTTCCCGCTTGCCGGGCTCCTGGCGTCCTGCTATTTACAGCAGATGCTGCAAAGCTGGTCCCCGCGTCCTACTATGTGCACCGGATGCGTCCGGCCTTTGTCTCCCGCCGCGATGCGGTGCATATTTTTCGTTGACGTCCCATACTACTATTGGTGGAGGACTGGGTCGAGGCCTACTGCATGCTTCACGTATGATCCTGCACGATTTGGGGATGGCACGGTCCGGCATTGTCTGTTCGTGCATATACAACAATTACGGGCATTGCTCTACACGAGCATACTGCTTTCACATCTTTTCCTGCGAGTTGTTCCAGGCTCTTGCTTTCATGCGCGTTCTTTGGTCTTTTCGTGTAAGCTAAAGGATCACAGTGTCACAGACATTATTTGGCACTAGTATGTTGCATAGGTTCATTCGCGGTCTGCTCTTGTAGGTAAAGACTCCAAAACAGCAAAGCATGAAAAGTGTATCAAAAGCATGAAAGCGTGGGTTTTTACGGGGAGGCAGACACATACGCACACGCATTCACGTACACATATACATGTGCATGCACATGCTCAGTCATATATACATGTAGGTATACATACGGGCATACGGTATACACATACATTCTCATGCACATGTACACGCCCATTATACAAACATACACATACATACACATACACATTTACATACACAACCATACAAATATACATATACATCTACATATACATATACATATACATATACATATACATGCAATGCAGGTGGTAAAACATATACATGCACATAGGCACGCCGACATGTAAACGTATACATATCATACATATATATATATATGCTGTGTATGTATACATAAATATGTATATATAAGTGTACACACACATACATAAAAATATAAATAAATATATACATATATATATATGTGTGTGTGTCTGTGTATGTATATGTACATTGACATACCTAGACAAACCAGGGAGCTTGGAATACGGTAATACAATGGACAACAAACCAATATGTGGCTATATTGCGAGTGCCATAAGGCGACAGCAGATCAATTTGGCGGGTAGTTCAGTCTCTGAGACTTGGCATCTTGATC